TAATTGGCTTGCTTACTGATACAGAATGAATATGATGGGTATATATATATACAGGGTTAGATACAATTAACTGGGAGAATATCATGCTGCTGCCCGTTCGAAGGTACAATCTGCAGAGTTTGTATTTGAAAGGAACGAATAAATGTCGATTAGGATTTATTAGTTCTGCAGAATTTTTAATTTTCTTTTCTAGGTGCTCTTAAAAAAAATCGAGAGCTGGATGATATAGATAGCTCTTCTTGTTTATCAGTAGTGGCAGTTTGTAAATATGAATCTTCTTAATCTTAATCTTAATCTCAAAGATTTTTCATTTTTCATTGCTCATTTTGTGTTTTTTCATTACCTGTTTTGTTTGTTTAATGTTTCCTTCTAGACATAGTTGATTTTCACACACCCACACACACAGACACATATTTTGGCAGCAAATAATGGATGGCTTGACTTTTGAGATGAAGGAGAGTCTTTACTCTGTTTTGAATTGGTCATGTGTTGTTCAAGATTGGGGGTGGAGGGGTTTATTGATTGACCCCCCATTGCATCATTTTATTTTGTATAAATTTCAAGTGGCTATTACAACTTGTGATTATTACATGATTCTTGTTTCTCTTCCATCATGTTTTGCTAAACCGATCTCTCTCTCTCTCTCCTCTCTCAAATTACGGCCACCTCTGATTTAAGCTCAAATTACGAAAAAAGATTCTCTTGTTTGGGCAATTACAAAAAAAGATCCTCTCTCAAATTACGGCCCCCTCAATTTTACGATAAAACCCCTCTTCCAATAGGTCAATTTGACGCTTTAGGGATGGACATGTTAGATAATATATAGCTAAAGAGGGTGGTTGTAATTACCAAAAAAGAAGGATACTTTTTCGTAATTTGACCTCATTGCCATTAATGTAAATAATTCGTTTAGGTGGAATCTTGTTCTAGCTGGATCTTGTTTTACCTTGTACATCACATATTGCTATGTTCGATAATTGGTCATCATCTAAGATAGGTATCAAATTAATATATATATATATATATATATATATATATATATATATATATATATATATATATATATATATATAATTTTATGAAATTAAATCTCTGTATTTCAATCAAAACAAATTTAGTATGTGAAATAAGTTGACTATCACATGGATTTACAAAGAGGCAGAGGAATACTTGTGCGAAAAGTCAGGGAAAGATTGAGTTGATGGACTCAATTATGATTTTCCTTTATAAAACAAGGGTCTATTAGATATAACCCTTTAAACATTCAAATAATAGGGGTAGACCCAAATTTAAATGTGCCATTTTGATAAAAACCCAAGCTTTTCGTAATTACATAATTAACCTCAATCAAATCCCACAAATCCCGTTACTTTACCTTTTGAAATAATATCAAATCCCTTCCTATTTTCCCGTTAACACACTATCACCCCAAAACCCACTATCAAATAAACTGCAAAAACCTCCCAGAACCACTTCCCGGTACGGCCGATCGAAAGGGGAAGAATCTGCAATGCCGTGAAACGACGATTTTCGTGGACTCCGAGCAAGCCGCCGTAGGTACGTCTTCGTCGGTCGCTGCATCGCTATCGTCCATCGATTTGTTCATATGTTTTGGCTAAATCGACTATCACGTTTGTATAATTGCAGATCTGTTATAATCGCATACCGAATTCGAGCACTAAATCATTGATATTGCAACAATTGATGGGCATGACATCCACCAGAAGTGATATCGTCGTTGGCCGCCGTCGCCGTCGCCGTCACTGCTCCAATCTAGGGTTACTCAAATCTAGGATTACTCAAATCTAGGGTTTTGATAATTCTTCGGCCCATAGTTGATTAACGAGATGCATAGTCGAATTACATCTGTATTAATATACTATCCCATATCATTTAATAGACTATCCCACTGGTATAATTTTACTATGGATCTCGTTAATCGACTATGGGCCGAAGTATCATCAAAACCTTAGATTTGAGAAGTGACGGCGGCGGATTTGTGTTTTAAAATAAATAGACTATCTCATATCTTTTAATAGACTATCCCATCTATCTAATTCGACTATGGGTTGACTATTGGAAAAATAATAATATATATGGAAACTGAATAATATGTTTGTTTGAAATACTAATCAATTAGGGTAATTTTCCTTATTATATGAAAACGATTAGGGTAAATAATAATATATATGAAAAAATAATAATATATATGGAAACTGAATAATATGTTTGTTTGAAATACTAATCAATTAGGGTAATTTTCCTTATATCATGTAATAGACTATCTTATTGATCTAATTCGACTATGGATCTCGTTAATCGACTATGGATCCCGTATTATTCAACCACATAGTATATTAATAATTTCAATATAGTACATTAATCTGCTATGATAGTATATTACGGTTATAGTAGTGATATGAAATTGTGTTACAAACAATATACCGCTGAAATGACAAGAACATTGAGAACAACACCAACGTAAAGTATTCTACATAATCAATAAAATATAGTACATTAATAATCTCATAATTTCAATCTAGGGTTTTGATAAAATACATAAAACACATCATAACACAATCAAACCAATATGTCGAGTTAAAAAACTCTAGTACATTAATAATCTCATAATAGTATAATAAAATGATAATGGTAGTATCATACGGTATTCATAATAGTATACTACAGTATTACAACGGTTTAACACTTAACCGAAGTTACCGAGCCATTACATCGTAAACACCTCTTTATAGCAACCAACCCACCAAACCTCAACAAAATCCGTACGAAATTCGCCATCGAAAAAACCTAAAATCATGAAACAAAATTAAAAATGCAGAATACTAAAAAATGATAAAATAGACTGCAAATACATTTGAATGATAATACATTAATATCATCAAAAATAAACTTAAAATGCAAAATCCATACGCTAAATTAAAAAAGACTACGAACTATATTTTAATGTACTACCCAACACACTTAAATCGGCTGTTATAAACAAATAAACCAACTATCGATCGGGATAAAAACATGAACTCGACCACAGCGGACAATTATTCCGATTATTGCATAAACCAACTACGAAGCTCATATAAAACAACTCTGGTCCGATCTGCGTGAACCATCCTCTTCTAACTCTGTCAATCATCTTCCAAACAAACATCATCGGCAAAAAAAAAACGATATATATATGACGGAATAATTTTGTTAAAAAACGTTCTACTTAATAGAATCAAGTATCAACACAACTCCTAAAAATTTCTAACCACCGTACACGACAATCATGGACATTGAGCAAAAAATAAAAACGAATAACGCATTCATACCCGCTTAACAACGTCCAACAACAAACGCTCAAAAATCGATCCTATTTCCACGACGGTGCAGAATCTTCAAAGACGATAAAACCCGCTGGAACGATGAAGAGAATCTTCAAAAAATATTGTACACGATTTGATATAACGGCCAATGATCTCACGTAAATTTATTCCGTGATTTTAGGCAACGTATCAACAAATCTCAAATCACGTATTAAAGGAAATAAATGCCGTTTAATAATAAAACAGGGGTATTAAAGGGAAATTATATAATATATTTTGCCAAATTGGCAAAATTGGGTGTATCTCAAAAAGGGGAAAAAAAATTGGATCTACCTCATTAGAAAATATGAACAAGGGGGTTTTCCCTAATAAACCCATAAAACAAACAATTATGAAGCGAAAACTAGCTGGATTTAAAAAAAAAATTAAGTTAATCGAAGTTTGATTATATATTTTGCTCGATTATTTTTTCGAGCTTGATTCGGCTAACCAAACTCAAAGTAGTTTTTAAAATTCTGTTTCGAATTTAAATTTTTTTTTTAATGGGCGCATATTCGAACAAGGATTGAAGCTAATAAGGCGATTTTGGGATGAATTTGTCTAAACACGAGATCGAGATCTAACCCATTTAATACAGTTTTGATTTCGAACGTGATTCTGATACCTTTTTCTAGTTGGATTTTGACAAAAGTTCGAAATGCGGGAACTGTAGTTCTTTGAGTTATATTAAATCAGTTAAATTGAATATCGTGTGACAAACTATGCATCAAAATATCAAAATGTGAAGAATGTTCATTGATTCATGCATATTTTTCTTACTGGAGATCCAATCCTTGTAATTCAAGTTAGATTAAAAAGCTAAACTACAAGTTTCTTGTTTCTTGTTTCGATTTCTGCCAAACTCAAATTAGAATGATGAAAATCACATCTGAAGTCTGAAACTAAACATTTATCATATTAAAACCATCCAACCCGACCTGTTGAAGTCTAAATTCATACTCGTACCAAACCCGAATGAAACGGGTCGAATAAGCCCAATAAAGAAAAACCCATTAGCCCAATATCAGCCGGAGTTGAAAAAAAAAGGCAGAGTTTTTTTTCATGGAAATATGAAATGGAGGAGAAAGAGGAGCTTAGAGCGGTGAAAGCCGATGGGTTAGTTATAGATGAATATTGGTGGTGGACCGCCGCCAGCGCCGCTCAATTAGGTTGGGGGATTTCCAAATTCAGAAAGGGCTTCGCCGGAGACTCGCATCTCATGCCCTTCAAGGCCGTCGCCGTCGCTTCCCTCTTGGTCGGCGGCGCCGCCTCCGCCGCCGTCGCCTCCCTCCGCGTTTTCGGTGTCCGATCGGTAAGATTTATTTTATCCTTAGATATGCATAATTACATATGAATTGAGTGATGTTGATGATTACTACTTGTTAGCTCACATGATCCTAGGGTTTTGTGGCATCACCAATTTTATAGGTGTTAAATTTGAGATTTTTACATAATCACAGCAATTAAAATTAGGGTTAGCTCATAAGAAAGTAATATAAGCATATTCATTATTTAAAAAAAAAAAATTATTTTTAGTTGTCGATCGGATTTGAATAAGAGTATTGATAGTTTCTTCGAAGTGAGATCATTCATCGAGATGGTTCAAGAACAACCGATGTAGCTTGAATTCTCGTACATTAAGATAACCATATTTATACTCGAAAAGGGAAAACAAATAGTAAGTATATGAATTTAGAAAACCTCGAAAATCTTATAGAATTAAGACTTGAAACAACGGAAACGGAAAAGATGATTTAAAGCTGCCCTGTATTTTCTCTTTGTTATGAATTACAATTTTTTCTTTTGAGATTTTCGTATGCCGTTTTCCAAGAAGCTATTTTGATCCTTTTTTTCGTCATTAAATCCGGCTATTATCAGTATTGTTATCTTTAATCCAAGCGAAATGTTGTCGATTACATAAATTCGCATTGTTCCTTGTTGTGCATAATCAGCATCTAATCGTTCCTTATTTGTTCCGCTCTCGAATAATTTGATGATCGTGTTTGCTCGATACTAATACGTGCAGGTGGAAGATGCAAAGTCTTTAGGCAGAAATGTAAGGACCGGGCTAGGGGTACGCCCTAGGGGCACTTGACGAGTATTTCGTTTTTCAATTTATCGAGGAATTACAATAAGCTATTTCGTGTTCGATGATGTATAAGAGATCGTAGATGAACTATATTTGTTGAACTGTTAAAATGGATTATTGTGGTCTTTTTCTTTACGAAATATGATACGACACCCAAAAAATTGCTATTGCCAGAGACTGATGCAAATCCTTCACAAAACGAAATCAAGAAAATGATAAACTTAAAATCCATAAAATTTCTTCAAATTGAAACCAAAATTTTGTGGTCTCTCATTTCATGCGAACAACGCACCAAATTATTCTCGAAATAACCTGCTAATCCCCAAAATCACGGTCGTCAACATAATAAAAAAAGATTAAAAAGTAACACGTTCACCAAAAAAATGGACCATCACGAAGTAAACGAATCAAATTAATTGGGACCGTCACTCTCTCTCTCTCTCAAGCTGGCACATAAGACTCGAGCATGAGCTGAGCTGGCGTAGGAGAAGTGACTTCAACAATTAGATACCTAAACTTCCATTGCTTGTCCTCTTTGTCTTTGAACATCTCCGAGTAAACTTTCCCC